GGTCTTTTGGCATCATGTGCAACAGACCTGCACGATCCACTGTCCTGCCAGTGTACTCACACCGGCCCTCCCCTTCCCAAGCGCGTGCGTCTGCTACCAACCATTATGGTTGTGGAGGAGCCGGTAGCAGCCCACACCATTCAGTTTGACCGAAGGAAATTCACATCGTTGGAGCGCCAGAACATTGGTTGAGGATACAAATGACAATCCTCCGCCAATAATTGAAGGGGAGAAAAGGAGACTAGGCGGTGACTGTTAGCAACACTTGTGTAAAGAGCATTCGCACCACTGCCGCGACACCACAATGGCTTTCCCTACTACGTTTGCAATTTGCGTCTCCACCTCACCCACCCATCTACCCACACATTGCCGCACACACTCACTCACACACACACCATACCCCAACCACATCCAACGGCTTCGAGTAAACACACAAATTGCGCACGCGTTCAACCAATCTGTACACCAAGTAAGCACGCACAATGTTCATCGTGCTGACCATTGTCTGCGCGGCAAATGTGAGGCACAGACACCTTGCCTTTGCACGCTGCACCACCTGTCTGTCGTGATGAGGTGTGAGCCAGTGAGGCGTGATGCGGTGAGGTGCAAATGGTGCTGGGAGTGGGGGAGGCATGAGTGAGGAGGGCACTGTACTTGTGCGCCACTGCTACACCACTCCAGGTGTCACATGCAATGTTGATTTCGGTGGGCATTGCGAAGTAATCTCCGAGTATGCTGTTGTGTTGAGTGCGACTGTGGACGACTTGGAGCATGTGCATGAGTCTGCCTTGTGACTGCTCCGTGGCCTCATTGTTAGGCCTTTCAGGGGTGGCGAGGGTGTGGACAGGTGCCACACGCTCCCTCCAACATTTGGTTGGGTCGTCAAGCCTTGGTACTGGCCGCACGTGGTGTCAATCAGCAACGCCAACGCTCACGGTTGTCGTGATGTCCTTCTCTCCTCTACCGCCAAATGTCATCCTACTGCACGGTGTGCAGGCAGATCAGATATTTGAGCATGCATGAGTTGAGCGTGAACGGGAGCCTCCTGTCTACACCGCACAGTTGGCATGATGCTGAAGTTTGGCCTCAAAAGCCACCTGCGATGGGTGATTGTGTGGAGAGAATGGCACTGTGAGGTGTACATCTGCCCAACCGTATTATGCATGTAAGGCGATACAGACAAGATGGTGGTGGTGGTGGTGGTGGTGAGTGTAGGAATGTCTCGTTAGACCAGTCCTACTCGGTGACGCTGAACAGCGTGAGAGGC